ACCCCAGAGCAGCAAATATTTTTCAAATACATAAATTGGGGTCTCTTACTTAAATGGTAAATTGTAATGTGGCTTTGTTTTAGAGCACATTCATTAATTAACCACATATTTACTGGTACTAGTAGATACTGTATAGCTTTGAAATCTCATATTTACTTACACTGTTGAAGACATTGGGGCCATTGGATGATTTTGAGCAGGTTGATAAAAAAGTTTACTCATTCTTTTTGCTGTGCTAGAGATTGAACCTGGGTCTTGCACAGGACAGTTGAACATGCTGATTTCTGAAATTTTTTCTTAAGAATATTAACCTGGACACTCGAAGAAAGTCTAGTTTAGATTGTACAGCCTGACCACCAGCCCGGCCTTAACGGTATAGCTCTCATCCCCCAACATAGAAGCTTATTTTTCAGTAGATGGAGGCCGCTGCAGAGATCCACAGCTGATCAAAATGCAGAAAATAAGTGACTGTGAATGCCTAACCCCAATTGGTGTATCTGTGATATAACCCCTACATCTTAAGGTTCAGGGAAAAATGTGGAGGAGGGGTCAGGAAGATAATAAGAGCCCAGAGAGCCAGATTGCCTGCTGCAAAGACATGACAGGGAAACTGAACCATGAAATCTCACCAGTATGGTTACCCACTAAACAAGACCTGAATAATGACAACACCATTAGACATGCCAGTGTGGATGGGTTAATTTCACAGGATCCTGTTCGAGGAGCTTTAGGTGACCTGTGGCTGCTGAGAGAGGGGGTGTTATCCAGTGACAGGCCCCTGTATCTGGGTCCTCAGCCCTAGCACATGTTCAATTCAGCAGCGCTAAATGATGGACTTAGCAGGGTGTGTATGTGTACATTCACACATTTATATAAACATGATTAGTTTTGAATTTGGGAGGGAGTTGGGTGGAGAGAAGGTGGAAATGCTGTAAATGCAGTACTTACTATGAAATTCTTAGTAAAGGAAAAATTTAAGTTGAAATATTAATCTGATAGACAATAGGAATCAGTTCAAATGAGAATGGGAAGGAAAGTTTCTTTTAAAATTTAGAGTTGGGGGGGAACCCTCCTCCCTTACCAACTGACCCCAGACTATCAAGTCTCTTCAGAACTGCCTACATCCTCTTCCTCTGTGACATGGCAAGACCTCCTTACTTCGGGGAAGTAATCAAAGAGCAGGCAACAGAGTTCATGTCAGACAGCTCCTGGTCCCCTTACTAGGTAACCTACATGGAGACTGAGATGTCTGTTGGCTACATCTGAGCAGGGGCCCTGAGTCCTCTCAATGCATGGTCCTTTGTGGGTGCATCAGTCCCTGCATGAACCCTGTGCCCAGATTTGTTACCTCTTTTGGTCTTCTTATGGAGCTCCTATCCTCTCCAGGTCCTTCTAATCCCCGACTTTTGTATAAGACTCTCTGCATTCTGCCCTAAGTTTGACTGTTAGTCTTAGCATCTGCTTCCATCCTCTGCTGGGTGGAGTTTTTCAGAGGACTTTTATGGAGGCTCCTATCATGTTTGCTCTCTTCAACCACTTCTAGTGTCTATTCTATTTACCCTTCGGGGAAGAGGGAGGAAGTATAGAAACTGGAGGAGATGAGGGAGGGCCCTACACTCAGGATGTAAAATGAATAAATTAATAATATTTGGAGGTAAAGAAAAGAAAATAAATTGGATTAAAAAGGAACTTGTTGGCCTGAGTATTTATTTAGTGTATTTGGTAGAGTGCAGCTTGCCATCACAGGACCCTGTGTTTACACTACCACCACATACAGTTGGATGTAGTGGCCCATCACTTGGGAGGTAGAAGACCAGAAATTCAAAGTTATTTTTGGTTACTTAGTGAGTTCAAGGACGCCCTGTGATACATGAGATCTGGTGTGAAAAACAAAACAAAATTAGCTCTTCCTGCTAAAAATCCCTAACTAAACAAAACTATTAATTGAAGTACCAAAATAAATAAAAACAAGTATGTGATATGGAAATAGATGTCCTTTCCTCTTTCAGAAGATCTAGGAGTCTAATGACAACCCTAATTGTGAAGTAGTGAAAATAGAAATTCTGAAATTTATATAACACTAATGTGATATGAACATTAAATTCTGTTTTTGACAATAGATTTTTTTTTTAATAATAATCATAGTTATCACAATCACTACTTATGTAGGTAGTCTAGGTCTGTATGAAAAAGGTATTGGATTTAGGTGAAAACTGTGACACAGTTTTCTTACTATACAAATTCAGATTCCCTGACATTCATGGGCCCCAGGCTAACAATGTGTATGCATATTGTCTCCTGGGTTCTTTCAACTTTGTGTATTTTGTCTTATTTATGTACTTTTTTTTTTTTTTTACAGATGGTAATCATTACTACTTTTTATCTTTTTAAAAGTAATATGTGCTCTTTAAAAAGAAACATTTGAAATGATACTAAAGGTAAAGGGGATAATTTCCTGGTTATTTTATCTCATAGTAAATAAGCCTGTTAGTAGTGTACTATATAGAACTATTACCTGAGCTTTTATATAACCACATAAAAGTTTCATATAAATAAAAGTAGTATCCTATTGTATACACTATTTTATTAAATTAAAACACATTACATTAATTTTTTATCTAGAGGTATATGCATTCAAATTTTCATGTGCCACATTACAAAATTCCTATTTTAAAGTGTATCTCCTTTTTTCAGGCTTATATATATTGAAGTTTATTTATCAATAAAGTAGAAATACTACTGAGTCTTGCAAATAAAATAGAAAACAATACAGCTGATGGAAGCAAGAATTTATTTATATTGGAAACTGTTTACTGAGGGAGTACCGAAAGAAGTCCATGTGGATACTAAAGGGGATTGCAGGGTAGAGTTGGTGGTCCTCTTTGACTTGGGATCTGTGGCTTCTTAAGAATTTTTTACATGTTTGTGTACTACATGCATGCAGTGCCCACTGAGTCTAAAAGAGGACATCAGATCCCTAGACTTGTACCCTTGTGAGCTACATGTGTGCTGGGAACCAAACACCTGTCTTTGTTTTGTTTTGTTTGAGACAGGGTTTCACTCTGTAGCTCTGGCTACCTTCAGACTCACAAAGAACTACTTACATTTGCCCTTTGAGTGCTGGGATTCATACTTAGTGTTTTTAATAAATTGCCTATTGTAGGCATGTAATGAAAGTGGAGTCATATATGTGACCTTTTATACCTGACTTCTTTCATTTAGCGTAATGTTTCATGAATAAAGCCATTGGATAACATGTAATAGGACTTTATTATTATAATATTATTATAGACAGGGTTTTCTGTATCATAAGCTAACTTGTAACATGCCATGGTTGTTGTGGAGGTTGTAGCCAAGGAGGACCTCAAACTCTGCCTCCTGCCTCCCCTTTGTAAATGTTGCCAGTACAGATACGTATCACCACACCCTGTTTTGCAGTGTTGGGGATTAAATCCAGGCTTTATGTATATTAGGCAATCTTTCTGTGACTGAGCTGTATACCTAGCCTTCATTCTTTGTTATGGTTAAATAAAGTGCCTTTGCATGCTTATGGATATTTTTGGGCTGTTCTTAGTAATTTTGCTGTAACATTAGTGCGTAGATTTTTGTTGGGACATATGTTTTAATTTTTCTGCTCAGTCATATGGTAATTCTGTTTGAGTTTGTGAGTAATTGACATTATGTTTCTGTAAGCCATACTTTTTAATGACTTCACTTTAGTTGTTATTGTTATGCTATTTATTCAGTCATAATTGATAATTTATGATGATTATTGAAAGAGTGGAAATGTATATGTCTTTGAATATGTGTGTGTGTCTCTCTGTGTGTGTTGCTTGTTTATGTCATAGAATGCTCACTTGGTGTGTGTGGAGGCCAGAATGTTGGGATGTCTTCCAAAGTCACACTACTCAGAGCCCACATGGGTTCTAGGGGGTCTGAATTTAGACTCTCATGTTTTCCCTGCAAGGACTTTATTCAGTTCACCTCTAACAGCTCCCATACTGAGTACTTTTTTAAAGGATGAATTTCTACAAGTGGATTTGCAGAACCAAATAATTACATAATTTTGATTAATCTTGTCAGATTACTCTTTAGAAATGCATAACATTGTATTACCGTTTTGCTTGGGGGCTAAAAACCCATAGCTCTGTGGTAGAGTGTTTGGCTTAGCAAGCATGAGGTTACGAGTTCTGTTCACAACACCTGAAAAAATTTTAATCAATTTAGTAAAAGATGCTTGTTTCTCCAAGCTCTTAATCACATTATTAATCATTGCTATTATGAAAATAGTCATATATTTTAAAATAATTAGTTTTTTGCAAATGAGTTTTTGCTTACATATTTGGATGCTTCTATATTGTTTTGTGACTTGCCTGATCATGACCATTACCCTAAATATTCCTGTTAGAATATATACAGTTGTTCTTAACTGATTTGTGAGGGTGTATGTTAACAGCAACAACAACAAAAACCTGTTGTACTGCCACTTATAAAAATTTATAAATATTTAAGAGGCTTTTTGATATAGTTTCTGGGTTGTCTTTTGACTTTGCTCTTTGCCTTATAAATATTAAATTACATTTTTTTTTTTTTTTTTATGACAGGGACTTACTATAATGGCTTGGCTAGCATGAAACCCTTTATGTAGACCAGGCTAGGCTTGAACTCTGGAATCTCACTGCCTCTGCCTCATGAGTATTGGAATTAAAGGTGTATGTCACCGAGCCTGGCTCATCTGTAATTTCTAATGGTTTTTGCCTTGCTGAAAGGTTCTCTGTACACTAAGACTGTAAAACTCTTTTTCTACATTTTTTTCTAAGAATGTACAAAACTGAACTTGGCAAGGGTTAGTAAGAGGTTAGATTTTGTAGTTGGCTGTAACTTATCTTTCATGGTTGTGGGTTTATTTTGTTTTATCTGTGTTAAGGATTAAATTATATGCTACAAAGTATATTCCTGAGCCGTATCTCCAGCACTTAATTTATGGTTAAATTCCATTAGCTGCTTTTTGGGCTTTTGGCCAAGATCAAGTGTAGGATCTGTTCTTATCAGTTTGCTATCTGATGTGTTCTCTTTCCAAGAACAATATATTATATATGTTTTTGGTTTAAGGAGGTGGAATAGGAACATGTTATACATTCATTCCACATATAGACCTGGTATTGCAGGAATAGTGCACCCTATTGGGAAAGTTAAAGAAATTTACTTATTATCTGTGGGGTATTGGTCATTTCACAACTTTTATATATTTTAATTTCCTTATATGTAAATTGACAGTTAATACATAATTCATAATTTTAGTGAAATGAAATATGAGAGTACATACACATAGATTATCAAGCTATCTAATGGGCAGTTAGTGCATGATTTTTTTCTCCTTACAACTTATAAATCCCATCTTTCTTTATCCTACTTAAAATGTGGTCCTGGTTTATGGGGGGGGGATACAAAGTGAATAAAGTGTACTTAATAAAAATTAAAATTAAAAAAAAGACTAAAAAAATTTGGTCCAGAAGTAAAAGGGAATTTCAAGATACTATGGGTCTCAGTTTTCAAAACTAGGAAAGTCATTTTGGGATTAGTACTGATTAAAAAGGAGAGCAACTTAGACCACCCCCCCCACCCCCCGGAGGGAGCAGCCTTGTCAGGCCACAGAGGACAATGCAGCCAGTCCTGATGAGATCTGATAAGTTAGGGTCAGATGGAAAGGCAGGAGGACCTCCCCTATCAGTGGACTGGGAGAAGGGCATGGGAGGACATGAAGGAAAGAATGTGGGATTGGGAGGGACTGAGGGAGGGAGGCTGGGATGTACATACAGAATGTATACATAAAATAGATACATTTAGATAATTTTTATTATTATAACTGTTTGTAATGCACTCATAGTTAATCATTGACCAGATTAAGAATTACTCAGTCCAGATTTAGTTCTCAGTGGCTCCTTTGTAATACTTACATTATTAATTATATTACATTGATTTTTAAAAATGATTTTTAAAATTTCCTTTGTGGAAAGTAACAACATTTTGTAAAGAAACGAGAATAGGGAAATATTTATATTTGTCATAGTTTCAAGACAGTAAGAGTTTTTAATTACTTTTTGAGATTGTAATTTAATTGAAACATCTCTCCCTTTCTTTTCATTCCTCCAAACACTCCCATGTTCCCTTCCCCACTTGCCCTCAAATTCATGGCTTCTTTCTTCATTAATTGTTACTGCATGCATTTATGTATTTGTACATGCATGTATTCCTAAATGTAACCTGTTGAGTTTACATAGTGTCACTTGTGTGTATGTTTTCAGGACTATGTTTTACTGCCACTTGGGTGTGCTCTTCCTGGGGAGTGTCATCTCTCCTGCTCTCAGCTTTACTTAGTTGCCTGTAGTTCTTTGTGTAGGGTTGAGGAATTGTGGGCTTTTCTGGTCCACTTTGGCTTGTTTGTTGTATCTTTTGTTCAGCTAATGTTTGAGCAGTTATGTTGGTGAGACTTAACAAGTGTAGCTTATGATATTAATAGGAGACACACTCTTAACAACAAAGTCCCTGATCTCTGGTTCTTAGAATCTTTCCACCCTCTCTTCTGCAATGTTCTCTGAGTCTTTGTGTGAGAGTGTCTTGTAGATGTATTCATTGTACTGAGCTGTACAACTGTGTATCTGTTGGTTGTGGTTTTCTGCAGTGGTCTCTGTTACAAGAAGTTTCTTGATGAGGAGGCAGAGATAATATTTATCTGTCAGTATAAGGACAACTGTTGATAGATTGTTGTTAGGGATTGTGCTGGTTTGGTAAATTGTAGATTCTTCAGTAACCATAATTTCACTAGCACTGAGTAGTTAGCCACGGTACCAAGTCATTGAGGTGGTTCATAGGCATCATAAGTAGGTAGAAGAAGCTTACATGGCCCCTGCTGCTACTTACTGTGAAAGTTCACAGGATATGGGCTTACCTTCTACCTTTGGGGTTTTACCAGGGACAACAGCACTAGACTGTCAGTTTTGTGAATCTCATAGACAGCTCTGGCAAACAACCTAAAAGAGGGCTTCTCATGTCTAGTTGTAGTGACAAACTTGGAATTTTAGTTTCTTTAAAAACATAAATACTGTAAAGAATGTTTTCATTTTAATCCCAGGTGTGGGGATATGAGGCTGCTCGGACTGTCCACAGCTGACTGATTTGCCTCTGTGCTCTAGCAGAAACTGATTTTGCCAGCTGCAGATAGTTTATGCAATTGTGTGACATTTGGAATTCTGGGAACTTCTCCGAGGGCATATAAATGTTATAGCCCCAAAAGGTGGGGTGGTTGATTAGTTTGTTGGTAGCCATGGTCAAAGAAGAAACAAAAGGAAAGAAATTAGATTCAGGGATTTTCCTAATTCCGTCTCCCCGATCCTTGTTTCTCTCCTATCTAGTGTTAGGGGTAGGATGTGGAATAAAAGGGGTGAAAAAGAACCCACAAAGTAGCAAAGGTCAGCTACATCTAGTATTGAGTTTTTTTTGCTTATTTTTAGAACAAGAGAAACAGTTTGGTCATGGGTTTTATCTAAATGTTTCTAAAATGTTACATTCTTATGCTTTTTTTTTTTGTCAAAACTAACTTCAAAATAAAGTTTAAGAAAGAAATGTAACATTTTCTCAGTTATAATAGTGGATATGGATTGTGTGTAATTAAGTTTCAAAATTTGATAACAAATACTATTCTTTGATGCTATAGCTACCTATTGTTCCTAGTATGTTATATGTGTATACTGTTACTATGTTGTATTGTCTAGCTAGTGGAACAAAAGTATATATTTTAAGTAACAGAAGTAAACCTTTGCTCCCCTGTGACCTTTGATGAGTTTGTTATGGGAGCATTTCTACTCTTGGACTCAAATTTTGGAAGAACACTATATTTTATGTGTTTATTGCTTTTGTGGAGTGTCTACCTGCCACAAAAACAGAAATCAAAGATAAAGGTTCCGGGACGTTTGTAGCAAATGAATTAATTTTCTTCTGATAATATACAGGTTTCTCTTTCAGTGGCTGGCTTTTGTTTTTACGTTGGGCCATAACATGGAAACATTCTTGACTCAGAGCTTTTGTAAGTTCTCATGTTTATTTTAACCATTTATTTTAGGAACTATTTTAAGGTTGACACCCCTTCCTTTCCAACCTTGTTGGTTCAGTACAAAGCACTACCTTTTTGTTGTTGTTTTCTGTTTGTTTTGTTTTTGAGACATCGTTTCTCCTGTGTAGCCTTGGCTGTCCTGGACTCACTTTGTAGAACAGGCTAGCATCCAACTCAGAGATCCGCCTGTCTTTGCCTTCCTGAGTGCTGGGTTTACAGGTTTGTGCTACCATGCTGGACTTAAAGCAGTACCGTTTGATAGGTGTTTATATGAGTAGAATAGATATTTTGGTGAGAAATTACTTATGGGTGTGCCATGTCTTTGTTTAATGCTGTTTTGGATGCTTGTGAATGAGCATTGGATCTACTTTTCCTTTGAATCCTTTCATAATAAGATATGCATACCCTGAAACATTTTCCTGTTGGATTTTATTCTGGATAGTTTTGTTATTGAGGTTTTTCTGTTTTACTCACCTTGTAGATTAGGCTGGCCTTGAACTCACAACACCAGAATGTTGGGATTAAAGGGGAGCACTACCACACCAAGTTGAACTGCTAATAACTGTTGCACTTAGCCCTCTTTTCCTTCCTATTGTGTTTTATCTAGGTTCCTTTGCTTTTGTTTTGCCTGCCACATCCTATACACAACTACCGATTCCTTGTCATTCAGATTCTTTCAGTATCATTTCCCCCGATTCGGTGTGTGTCTGTCTTTCAAGCAGTGGGTGTTTTCCGTTTTAAAATGTAGTCATTCTAATAGATGTGCAATCAGCTTGTTTACATTTCCTTGATGCTTAATGTTATGTGCTTATTTGCTTTATGCTTAATATCTTACATGCTTATTTGTTTTCCATGTATCTTGTTTACTAAACAATCTTTTGAAAGCCTTGTGCTGCTCCCTAGCTGTGTGTCAGGGTGTCGGAGATCGAACCTACATTCAAGGCATATAGTCTACCCTGAGATATATATGTAGTGCCTTTTTAAAAATTAGATTTTGTGAATTCTTTGAGGGAGTACTTTTTCTTATATATATTTTGAAAACATTCCTAATTCCATGACTTAATTTTTCAAATAGCAGATGCTTCAATTGTTCATAGAGTGTATTTGTGTATTAGTATTTTTCTTCTACAGATAGTTTTTTTTAGTTTTTTTTTTTAATCTTTGTATTAAGGATATTTTTTAGTTTCTTTTAGACCTTTTATATTGTTTGGTTTTTACATTTGAGTTCATGGTCCTTTAAGTTTACTTTGAAAGGTATAGGGCAATGTTTAGTTTTGCGTATGAGTTTTCATCTAGTAGCATTTGAAAATTCTGTTCTTTATGGAAATTCTCACCTTTGTTGAAAATCTGTTGATGATGTATGTGTGAATGTTTGGAATTTCTAGGTTTTGTTGAATTGAACTGTACTTGTCTATTACTTTATTAGTACCAAACCATCTGGGAAACTAGCTTCTGATAAGTCTTGAAAATAAAAAGGTACACATATAAATTTCTCTTGACTTTTTAACAAGAAAAGGTCTGATCCCTTTTCCATATATTTTAGAATCAGCTTCAGATTTTTTTGTTTTCCGATATGAGGAGGTATACTCTCAAGGGGAAGGATGACTTAAGCAAAGATGAATGCTTACTTGAGACCCATGGAAAGAAGTAAGGTGTTAATGTTTAATGAAATAGAAAACACATGAAAAGAGAAGGTAGAAAGCCAAAGCCAGTACAATAATTGCTTTTCTCGCCATTGTGACTAAATAGTGGTTACAAACAACTTTTCCCCCCAAGACAGGGTTTCTCCGTGTAGCCTTGGCTGTCCTGGCTCGCTTTGTAGATCAGGCTGGCATGGAACTCAAAGAGATCCGCCTGCCTCTGCCTTACCAGTGCTGGGACTGTAGGTGTGCGTCATTGTGCCTTGACTTAAAAACAATTTAAGGGGGAACTATTTAGTTTGTGGTTTCAAAGGATTGAAGCCATGGATTTTGACTCCATGAACTAAGGCAGAACACTGTGTTGGAAAGAAAGTGTGACAGAGGAGTCTGTTATCTTATAGCTGACATGAAGCAGTTAGAGGCAAGAGGAAAAT